TGATAACACACTGTGGATATATATGCAAGCGAGAGCGAGACTGTTTCATTCATATCCACCATCCATCGTGTGTCGTGGGTGATCTGCCAAGTGAGGCTGCACCAAAGAATATTATGTTTAACCTTTAATGAAGTGAGAGAGAGAGAAGAACATTGAGAGAGAGAGAGAGAGAGAGAGAGAGAGAGAGAGAGAGAGAGAGAGAGAGAGAGAGCCGCTAGGAGGGGGCAGAGAGAGAAAAGCGGAGGACGACTGTAGTTGTATATTAAAAGGAAGTTGACGAAGAATATTGACTGCATCACTTTTTGTTTGTTTTTTTGCATGAATGTTAAATCTTCTCCTGTCAACATATAATATGAGAAACATCTCTCTCTCTCTCTCTCTCTCTCTCTCTCTCTCTCTCTCTCTCTTCTTGAACAATGTTCAGGCTGATTCACATTTAAAAGTTGTCTATACATTATGAAGCGTTTGAGTAAATAGTTCATAACTGGAATGTTGTGTGTGTCATGTAGCTTTGCAATGGCACCCCACCGCAGGTGCGAAGATCTTACTTCATCATTAAAGCAAGTACCAGCACGCCTGAGCGAAAAGACTGCGGTCAGGAAAGAAAAGGGGAAATTCCAGAGAGCGCCACACGAAAAAAGCAAGACATCACCTTTGATGAAGTCACGCGCGGACTGTGCTGCGGTCACGGCGTCGCCGAAAGCAAACAGGTCTGACTCCAATAAACGACAACGAGAGTCGGCCCCCGCCTCCCCGGCATCCACGAAGAATCGCATAGGACATGATCGATCTCCACCACAGGCGCCGAACAAAAGGTCATGTGCAGAAGGGGTGGAAGGAGAACCTCGGCACAACGTCGCAAATGCGAAGAGGAGGGGAGGAAGGGCAGAAAACAATTGATCTGAGGGGATCCGAAGGTGTAAAGGCAGCCAACACCGAAAAACGATACGAGTCACGGGACACAGTAGGTCAGACGCAAAGGTCCGACGTGAAGGTTTCGAAATTGGAAGGTGTTGAGGCAGCCAACACCGAAAAACGAAACGTGTCACGGGACACAGCAGGTCAGACGCAAAGGTCCGACCCGTATGATGAGACAGACGACGGTGAAGGACGTAACGACGGCACATGCGACAAAGGACAATCGTACGAAGAAGATGCGAGCAACGAAGAGGAGGACAGCGAGAAAGGGTATAACAACATAGAGGACAACGATGGCGAGGACAAAGAGGAGGAAGACATATCTCGGAGCAGCAGCAGGGAAGAAAGGTGTAGCGAAGACAATACACAAAACACATCTCGAAAAACGCAAGGAGGAAGAAGTCACGGACGCAGGCAGGATAGCAACGCCAACAAGCAGTTCGTTCTCAAGGAGAAGGCAATTGAAGGACGTAAGTACGCAATATATGAGAAAAATAAAAATATCCGAACACAAATGGCTAGTCGATATGTTGTTTTGCTCAGACTGTTGTCGTTGCATGCCAGTTGTGCAAAATGGTAGCGAACTGTATATGTTATTCGATAATAAAATTTTGCGTAGGCTACAAATAAGTAAGTGCAGTTGCGGTTGTTTGTCCTGCCAAGCGAATATACGAATGTGGTGGATACCAACTTCGAACTTCTGGTTGTTGACACGCGTTGTGCAGACCACCAGATTATACCAGGAGGGAGACGGCGTGACGAAGACTCAAAAGAGGCTAGGCGTTCGGTAGGTGGCACGGGAGACGAATGCCACTTATTCGGAAAAAAACAAAAAGACAGACTGCTCAGGTCTGTTGCAAAAACTTTTGTGCACTCAACAGCGAGGGACGCAACATTCTACCCGTCGGAGGACAACTTCTTCAATGCATTGCAGTTGGCTGCTACCTTTTTGGGAGAAGATGTGACGGCAGGTTGGGGGAAGTATGTAGAGGAGAACGGTTTGCGGACTGTGCTTATAGAGTGCAACCGAATGATGACAACGGTCCGTGGTGAGTTGACTTGGCACTTGAGACACTGGTTTTGGGCGAAGAGAGGTCTCCCCCTCGTACGTGGCGCGCACTCGGATCACAATAACACCGTGCGAAACGAACTACGTAGCCAGATGAACAAAGACAAAACATGGAGAAGGAAGGGCGACGAGCCATGGGGAGCGGAACATTTCAATAGGGCACTCACAAAAGTGTTCCAAATACGAAAAGACGGCGGGAAGCTCGGCGTGTCTTTGCAGCAACTAGCGTTCACYGAACTCGTGATCCACACAGAAATAGAACAAACAAAGAAGTCAAGCAAGGCGTCGGATTAGTTGCTGCAAATGGCCACTATAAAGAATGACATAGTGAATACAGCCCGGAACCGGGACACAGTTATGAGTTTTTGCATTTTCAAGCTCGAGCACGACACACGCGTGGCAGATGTGGCAACACGGTACTACAAAGCAGGGAACACACGGAGAGACACACGTGCGGTTGACAACAACAGCAACAGTGTACAAAACTTTGAATTCGAAATGCTAGTCTCGCAGATACAATCGCGAGCTTCATGTTGAGGACCTTGCAAACCTATCCCGGAGTGACACTCCTGTTGTTCTGACAGATGACACAGGAGACAAGATGTGGTGGTACTGCGTGTCTGCAACTCTTGCCACAACAAGACGTGGAGAGAGAGAGAGAGAGAGAGAGAGAGAGAGAGAGAGAGAGA